TCCAGTCCCCCTCAGGTAGCTATAAACACCTTCACCTGACATAACTGGGTATTTTTTCACCCGTTATTTTATTGTCTTCCCCCATCCACAGCTCCTTAGTGAGTGGGGGGATGGTGGGGGGAGTGTAGGCTATGCCCACTCCCTAGCAGTGGTGGCGGGACATCTGGGCCCAGGGAGCTCAGTTGCCCTCTGTGTTCAGGCAGGGCTGGGACTAGTGTGTGCCTTCTGTTGCCCAGCCCTCTGGGGCATCACACTCCTGCTCCCCAGAACCCCAGATGTTCCCTCAGCCCTGCAGACACAGGCACTCACATTTTAAAGGAGCAGGAAGGCAGCAGCACGGGGTAATAGGATCAGGGAGTTGAGAGACCCTAGGAGACCAGGCTTAGCCTGAATCCCAGAGGTGCATCCTGGAGCTCCCTTCCTGCCCCAACTTATTTAAAAGGATGCGGCCATTGGTGTTTTCTGGGGTCCTGCCCAACTCTGTCGTTCTGTGGCCTCATCCCCCCTGGGGAGGGCACACCAGTCCTGGGAGCCACCGAGTGGCTGGCGGCGCTGCTGGCCTTCGTCTTGTTCGGGAACTTGTTTCTTGTGGGCGGCCCGTCTCCCCATCCGGATGTCAGGTCCAGTGAGCAGAATCACCATCCTTGTTACCGCCTTAGACACAAGGCTCAGCATGGTGTCTGGACAGAGAAGGTACTCAGCAAATAGTTGCTGAATGACTGCAACAGCCTGACAGCCAATGCTTTCCTCGGCCAGCCGCTGGGCTCGGGCCCGGGAGTCGGAAACCGAGCACAGTGCAGCCGTTTGCCCTAAGCTGGGCTCTGCTGAGGGAGGATACGGGGCTTTAAACCAGCCTCCACTTGCTCACCACATGTCTGGGCCCCGAGAGGCCTCAGCAACCTGCCCCCCCAGGGGGATCTTCAACGCTGGCTCTGAGATCTCTCCTGTCCTCACCTCCCTTCAAGGTGGCCTGCATGGCCCAGTTCCACCAGCATCTGCCTGAACACCTCCTGGGAGAAGCAGCGACACACTCACACCCTCGGCTCAGGCAGAGGGCTCACGGGGGAGGGGGGCAGCACCGTAGCCTCACCATCACCCAGGGACACCTGTCACTCAGGCAGGGGGGCTGTGCTCAGAGACTGCTCAGCCCGTCCCAGGAGGGCGGGGTCTGTGTCCATGTTGGAGGGAGTGGGAACCGGCTGAGGAAACTGAGTCATTCTCTGAGACTCTCGCTAGGTTGGCATCAGGTCCAACACACCAGCCAAATGGTGCCACTGCTCATCTGACACAGCTTGGGGACAGCCCCTCGGGAACATGGCCAGAGGGGGAGGAGGGCACAGGGGGCCCATCTCCGCTGGTCAGCCACAGACTGAGTCTGGTCCAACCTGTTACTTCTAGTGCTATCTCCACCCCGTGACAGATGTGGGTCCTCGGACCTCTGTCTCCTTCTCAATTCAGGGCAGGGCAAATACAGAACCCTGAGTAATGGTTGTCACCATTGTCATTACTGCTGGCCAGGCTCCGTCCCTGCAGCATTTCCTAAAAGGCATGCATCCACCACATGAGGAGGCCCTAATTTTTCTCGTTTTATAGACCTAAACCCGGGGTGGGGAGCCGCTGTACAGCTGGAACGCAGGGCTGCTGGGGTCTGAGGCAGGGCGCCTGGGCCAGGAGGAGGGCATCCGCCCTTGGACTCAGAGTCCTTCCAGCACCTGGTCTGAAAGACAGGGCTTGGCATCACCCACCCAGTGACAAAAGCCAACTGGAAATGAAGAGGGCGCAAAATGAATTCATTTGAGGATTCTAGAAACAAACCAATCTGTGCATTGGGTGGGGTCATCGAAGAACACCTGGAAGAAGTGAGGCCAGTGCCCGGTTTCTGGGGTTCCCAGCAGCCTGGAAACTTCCTGGAAGGAAGGGCGGCTGTGGTTTCCCTAGGGAAATCCGGCCAGGCAGGGAGTGGGGGAGCCTGGCCTGCTTCACCTAGAAAGGTTTCCAGAAGGAAGGGCTCAGGCCTGGAACTGAGAACGGCACAGTAAAGGGAGACTTCAGGGGAGGGGAAGAGGGAACTGGGAGGCGGGGAACCTAGCGAAAGGGAAGTGGTGGATAGAAAGACACATGTGGATGAATTTTAATGCAATCAGAAAGCTGTCATAATGATAATAAAGGAATATATTCCGACATCAGGGAAGAAGGCCCCCGCTGCAGTCCCAGCATGTAAATGAGGCTCGGGCTAGGAGGGGCCTTCTCTTCCCCTCCGTCTTCCTTCCGAGGAACAATTTGTAAGCTGGAGGGCCTGGTATTAGCAGGGGGCGGTTTTCACTTTTTTGTCTTTCTGAATGGGAGCCTTTAAAAGGCACTGGGGGTGGTGTTTGGGGCGGGGGAACCCTGTTCTGGGCCTAGGGAGGAGTTTGAACTACTCTGCTAAAGGCTTTAAAAGCTCCCAGTCCACTTCACATAAAGTGTTGTTGTTGCTTCTGGGAGTTAAACAAGCCCTCCCACCTTCTCTCCTCCATCTCCGCTCTCTTCTTCTGCTGGTCTCTTTGCTCTTTCTGTTTCGAATTCTTTTCACTCTGTCCATCTTCATCATCTCCCCTCCCTCTCTGCTCCTAACTCTGTCTCCTGCCTCCCCCCTCAGCTTCACCCTGTTCCACGGTCTCTCTTGTGGTTTCCCAGTCCGTGCTCCCTCAGCCCAGAGCCTGGGGTTGGTGAGCCCTGGCGAGAAGGCAGGGGTGTGTCCAGCCCAGCCACTGTCTGGCTAGCCTGGTTGAGCAGCACAGGCTGGGGCAGGCGGCAGGGGCAGGGGCAGGCCTCCAGGCCCAGAGCTTGGCCGACGCCCACTAGTGGTGGAGGTCCAAGCTGGTGTGCCCTGACCCAGAACTGGTAGCAGGAACTGGCAACGATGTCCTGCAGGGTATGGGAGGAGTCGGCCCCCAGGGCCGCCTCATCACTGCTAACCTGCCCAGTGCAGGGTGCTCTGGTGAGGGGCACCAGCAGAGCAGCAGTTAGGGCTTCCTGAAGAGGAAGACTCTGGGGTGGCTTCTGAAGGAGTGCAGGGGCCCGGAGCTTTCCTCTGCTTTGCTCCAGACACCAGGACAGCCCCTCAGCCCTATGTGAACTCTCCTGGCAGTGTGGGCTAGGGGGACTCTCTGGGGCAGGAGGTACCACCGGCCTTGAATACAGAGGGACATGCCCCCAGAGTACCCCTGCCTTCAGAGTAAACCATAAACACATGACTGGTAGAAGCTTGGGGTGGGGGGTGCATTTCTGCAGCCTTAGCTGTGTGTGCCTGTGTGTGCCAGTCCTTCAGTCGGCACACATCTAGTGAGTGCCTGCTGTGTGCTGTCACCACACGGCCCTGTTCCAGCGACTGTGGCTGCATAACAACTTAGCCCCGAAGTGAGGGGTGTAGTACAATCCTTATTATGCTCTCAGATTCCATGGGTCAGGAATTCAGACAGGGTATAGCATGGAAGGCCTGTCTCTGCTCCAGGATGTCAGGACCTCAGCTGGAAAACTCAAAGGCTGGGGGCTGGCATTATCTGAGGACTCATTCATGTCCTTGTCTGGTGGTTTATGTTGGCTGTCAGCTGGGGGGCCTGGGTCCCTTGCTTCATGCACTGACAGTGCGGGCCCCTCAGGTGTTCTTCACAACATAGTGTCTGGCTTCTACAGGGCAAGCCTCCCCAAAAGAGAACTGAGTGGAAGCTGATTTCTTTTACGACCTGGACATGGAAGTCAGCTGGCATCACTTCAGCTCCTCTTGATTGGTTAGAGCAGTCAGAAGCCCCATCTAGATTCAAGGGAAGGGAATGTAGACCCCACCTCTCAGCAAGAGGCATGAAGTCACATTGACGTAAGAGCCTGTGAGGTGGGAGATCTTTTTGAAGCCACAGTTGATACAGATCCACACAACTCCGTGTCATCTCTTTCAGCCTAAGCACACAGCTGAGTTACGTCAATAAGCCCCTTGGTACTCAATGCAAGTGTAGGGGAGCTGTGGAGGGAGCCCAGTCCTCAGAAACAGGCTGTCCAAAAGTGCGCAAGGCTGAATTTTGCACCATGAACAGATAGGAAGGCTCGGACCAAGGAGGGAAAAAAACATGTGAGGTTGAAGGGAGATGTGTCCCTGGGAATGGCACAGAGCACTCACTCATCCCATCGCTCTGTCCCGAGAGCCTACTATGTGTCGGGTACTGCTGCCCCAGTAGAGGCCTGCTCTCTTCCCCAGGAGGATAATGGGGTGGGTGAGGGGGGTCAGTGGCAGGGAGCTAGGCAGAAACCAACTATACAGGCAACACAGCAAATAACTGTCCTTTGAAATTCAGACCATGAGAGCCAGGGGCTGAGACAGAATAAAGGGGAGGTGGAAGGAGGGGCCTTGATGAGGAAGTAATATTTAAACTGAGAGCTGGGAGAGGAAGAGAAGGCATCAGCCTCGTGATGTGGAGGGTGTTTTGGGCAGAGGGGACAGCACAGGCAAAGGCCCCGAGGTAGACTTGTTTGTCGTGAGTTAATTCTGGCCTCTGTGACGGAAGGTGGAAGAAGAATATAATTTGTGTCTAAGAGGAGGGAAGAAGGGATCGAAGAGTTGCATGAATGACCCTTGTGCTGTGGGTGAGCAGCCAGACCAATGGCCTCGCTCCCTCACTTTGTGGCCTGCCCTTTAGGCAGGAGGGGGCAGAGTCGCTGCAATCCAGCTCCCTCCCTACGCCAACTCCTCCTCCTGCATCTTCCCCTCTGGCTACGCCCACCCTCTCCCCCTGGCCCCATCACGCAATCGTCCCTGCCCAGCTAGCTAAGACCAACCCCATCCCGCCCTCTCCCTGCTACCTTTCTCCCCCTCCGGGTCTGAGCCCTCGCCCGCCCGCGCTTCTGCCCAGCTTCTCCCTCTCTCCCGAAACCCTTCTCCTCCGGGCAGGCCCAGCCCTGTTCCCCCGGGCCCGCCCCCATGCCGCCCGGCCCCTGGCCCGGGTAAGCATCTCCTAATTTTGTTCCAGAAGATAGAAAACTCTTTGTGGGCATGCTCAACAAGCAGCAGTCTGAGGACGACGTGCGCCGCCTCTTCGAGGCCTTCGGGAACATTGAAGAGTGCACCATCCTGCGCGGGCCGGACGGCAACAGCAAAGGTGAGCCGGGGGTGGGCTGGGTGGGGCGGGGCAGGGCTGGTCGGGGCGGGGCCATCGGCCCACGCCCACTGGAGGGCGGAGTTCTGACCCACCGGGAGCTGGTGGGACTGGCAAGCCTGGGAGGGATGCTCGGAACTGTGGAGGTGGGACGAGGTCTTTCTCTTTTGTGTGCGTTTCATAGTGTCTCTCTTTTTCTCTCGGTCTTTATTATCACACCCATTCTGCTGTCTTCTTGGATGCGCGTTGTCCCCTGGACCCCTCCTATGCCCCGCCTGTCAGTCCTCTTGTTTCTCTGGCCTTCTCTGGGCCCTGGCTCAGCCTTTCCTGTCCCCCGCAGGGTGCGCCTTTGTGAAGTACTCTTCCCACGCTGAGGCGCAAGCTGCCATCAACGCGCTGCATGGCAGCCAGACCATGCCGGTGAGTGTGGCCACCCCTGGGCAGAGGAAGGGCGACACCCCTGTGAACCCAGAGCACCGCAGGGCCCCTGCGCACCCTTGCACTCAGTCCATACAGGGCGAAACACTTGCCACGTTCACTGCCTCCCTATGAGATTGGAAGGCATTACCACTGTCCCCACGTCCCAGACAAGAACACTGAGGCCCAGAGGTCTAAGGAACTGGCCCACAATCTCCCAGAGAGACAATGCCCGCAGTTGTGTTAAGACCCCAGACTCCTGGACATGTACCTGTGCTCATTCACCCCCCAGCCCACAGTAGTGCCTCGTGGAGAGGAGAGGGAGGGCCTAGGTCAGGGGCATGGACAGCTGGACAGCTGGGAGCGAGCAGCTAGGGCAGGTGGGCCTCACGTGCAGTCCCGGCTGCAGGGAGCCTCATCCAGTCTGGTGGTCAAGTTCGCCGACACTGACAAGGAGCGCACGATGCGGCGAATGCAGCAGATGGCTGGCCAGATGGGCATGTTCAACCCCATGGCCATCCCGTTCGGAGCCTACGGCGCCTACGCACAGGCAGTAAGTGGGGGCGCAGAGGGGGGTGGGGAGGTTGCAAAAACGGTTCTCCAGCTAACTCTGCTCAGAGCCCCAGAGCTGGGGCACCTAACTTTGCTGAGGGGAGCCCTGTTCCTGGTCAAAAATTACTGCTCCAGCTTGGGGAGTGAGGAGTGGTCGGAAATGAATCCAGGACATACAGGGGGATGAGAGAAGTCTGGTTCAGTCCAGGGGGACTGCCAGAAAGAGGTGGTAGGTTCTTAAGGGGAGGAGATGGAGAGAAGGCTTCTAGGCAGGGCAGCAAGCTCCCCTGCTAGTCAAATTTCAGAAAGCACCAAATGGAAGGGGTGAGAGAGAGTCAGGTATTTGGTTGTCACTACCCCACCCCTACTCAGGGAAGGGTGTGCTTAGGCCTCAGGTCACTCCTGGCAGAGGTCTGTCAGGTTCCCCAAAACCTATCACACCAATACTTCCGCTGCAGTCCCCACCAAGCCCCAGGCCCACCAACTTCTGTCTTCCACCTTGGGGCCTCCGCTGCCAGCATCTCTCCCAAGCTGCCCCCCAGGCTCATAGCCACAACCCCCACATGGGCGGCACTGAGGCAGTCCAGGTTCTGGTTCTAATGACACAAGCTCCCCTCCTCACTCGTCAGCAGTGTTGGCATTTGGCCAGTTGTACCAACCTCCCCAGTCTCCACTCACCTCTGTGAGAACGTCTGGACAGAAATCCACTCCAAGTTAATTCTACAAAGCCTCATCCAGCATGTTTCTAGAGCTTTGGGTGTCACATCTCCGTGAATGACAGGCCCCCACAGGGCTGAACAACACCCATGGGGCAGTCCCTTCCCCTACCCTTTACAACAAGTTTAGAGTCTGCAAGACTTTACCATTACCTTTGAATAGACACCTCTTAGGGAGTGGTTTCTAATAGCCATTGAGAACTAGAGCAGGAATGGGGGAGACATCAGGGTTCTTTGGGATGGGGTGGGGTTCAGGGCCTAGGAATTTTGTGTCTAGGAACTGAGACCCCTGGTGGGGAGGGCTGCCCCCCTCTGGAAGCGCATGATATTTTTTCCCCTCCCTCTGCCCCAGCTGATGCAGCAGCAGGCGGCACTAATGGCATCAGTCGCACAGGGTGGCTACCTGAACCCCATGGCTGCCTTTGCCGCCGCCCAGATGCAGCAGATGGCGGCCCTCAACATGAACGGCTTGGCAGCCGCACCCATGACCCCAACCTCAGGTGAGCCAGCAGCTACCACCACAGGGCCATCCTGTGGCAAACAGTACATGGAATCTGGGCCCAAGCAGGCCTCATCCTCTGGCAGTTTGTCTTGAAAATGTTCTAATCCCTGGGACCCAAGGGAAGATGGGCTGTGGGCCTCATGGAGTCCATGGTGTGATTTCAGGGTGGTAGGAATTTCACTCAAGTTGTTTTGGGAAGAAATTGGCATGAACACATCTCCCTTTGAAGGTCGTAGGGGAGAGGAACCCTGCCCATGCTGTGGCCTTGTTTGGTCCTTGGCCCAAGCACAGAAGGAGCTGATTTTTAAATTTCCTTTTAACCCAACAGAGGCTCACTGGCTTCTCCTGAGAGAACTACACAACATGCAGGAGAACCACAGAGTTATTACAAGACAGGGGGTTGCAGACGGCCCAGCTCACAAAGTGTGTTTTTAATTAAATCTTGGTTATTATCTGGTTCAGTGATTCTCAACTGGGGCAATACTCTTATGTCCCACCCCTAACCTGGGGATATCTGGCAATGTCTTGAGACCTTTTTGGTTGTCACAACTTGGGGAAGGGGGTGACACTCTGTCCTAGTAGGAAGAGGCCAGGGATGCTGCTATATATCCAAAAATGCAAAGGACAGCCCCACAACAAGCAAATGTCTGACCACAAATGACAACAGTGTCAAAGTTGAGAAAACTCTGTCTAGTCCCAAGGCTGGCCCAACAGCCCAAGCTTTCATTCACCAGGCTTCCTTGGCTCTCCACACTCGAGTCATAGCAGCAGCCTTCCTTACACCCAGGAGCTATTCTTTTCCCAGATAATATCCATAAAAGTCTGAGCCATCTCTGTGCCCAACTTGAGCACTACCCCTACTTAGAGACACTCCTGAGCCCAGGCCAGCCTCAGGTTCTCATCCACAGAGAGACCCTCATTCCCACATGAAGAGGAAAGCCCTTCCCAGTTTTGAGCCCTCAGTACAACCACTGTGCCAGCCACATCTTGGGTTGCACCCACTTGGCACAGAGAGGGCACAGCGTACTATCATCTGACCCCAGCTTTACCCTTGCCATAGTGAGCCTCACCATTATCTCAACTGGAGGAGGCCAAGGTGGCAACTGTGTGTGAACAGGCCTGATTCTGGACTCTGCACAGTCCTCTCTCCCTCATTGCAGGGGAATTCCAGAATTAAGACCTCCTCCATCCGAGTAGCAAAACTCCTTCCTGGGGAGGCAGATGAGCCCCTCAGTGACCCAGACAAGAAGGCAGAGCCAGCAACTTAGAAGCCTGGTGGTGGTTAAACAAGGACTAGCCCATCCTGACTTAACTAGGGTGAGCAAGACCACAGAAAAAGACTAAAGGAAGAACAAGTATGATGAAAGTCGAGGGCACTGAGAATAGTCTATGTGCTGCAGTTCCAAGGTTGATTGGTCAGTGGTCAGGGAAATCTTTTGGGGGGAGGTGGGATTTGGACTCTGCCTTGAAGGATGAATACAGTTGGGATGAGTGGAACACTCCAGGCATGGAGATAATCCAAGGTGTAATTCACAGATAGGATTGAGTTGGTGTGTGAGTTCCAAGTCTGTGCCCAGGACCTTGAAGACAGGAGATGGAGCTCCATGGGTTGGCCTCCCTCACCTTTGTTCTGCTTGCCTTCCCTCCTCCTCTACCCCTCTCCATCTCTGAAACCAGGTGGCAGCACCCCTCCGGGCATCACTGCACCAGCTGTGCCTAGCATCCCATCCCCCATTGGGGTGAATGGCTTCACTGGGCTCCCCCCACAGGCCAATGGGCAACCTGCTGCAGAAGCTGTGTTTGCCAATGGCATCCACCCCTATCCAGGTAAGCACATATAGCAGCCCTTTCTTACCCATGCATCACACTCCTCATCCATTCTGTCCCTGCCCTTGCTGTTATAACAGGGAATGTGTGGCTCCTGCCCTCCATCTGCTCCTTGGTGGAACCCCAAAGCTGATCAGGGAGAACAGCCTCCTGCCTTCCCTCAGGGAACCTCTGGTGGGAGATACTAAATTCCCATCTTTTTGGAAGTACCAGTCCCAGAGGTGAGAAGGAACTGCATTCCTGGGGCTCCTACAGGGTAAAAACAAAAAGGGAGAGAGAGAAAGAGTAGGTATAATTGTACAACCAGGTACAGGCTAGTAACTGCCAATTAATTGAGAGTGAATTTGACCTATAAAAAGTAAGGGGATAGAAGCTAAAAGAATAGTTACATTTAGTATTAAGTAAGAAAAGAGTCTTTTAGGAAGGAAGGGCAGATATATAGATTGACATTATGGCTAGTACATACCTGTTCGGTTCCTTTGTGCATGCAAAACCCTGGTCAGCACTTCGGACAGAGGATCAGAACCTCGGACAGCTCCCAGGTCCTGCTTTCGTGAATTCTGGTACACAGAACATCCAGGAGACCCGTTTCTGATTAACTTCGTTTCTCTCAAACTTAGCACTTCTTCCATGGTGGGACTGTCCAATAGACTTGAAGCAAATTTTGTCTCTGGTCTTGAGGATGGACAGGACAGGAGAGCTGGACCCGAAGCCCTAGAGTAGACTAGAAAGAGGCAATGTGTCAGAGATGTGAAGAGTGCTGTCTTCCTTCCTAGAGGGCAGGTGTCAAGGTTACAGAGTCCCCATAAGTACAAGTGCCCAATCTGTGCTGGATGAAAGGGGGCCCAGAAAGATGGCAGGATGTAAACGTATCAACTGGGAGGTCAATGTCCCATCAGGAGCACAATAGACATCGACAGAATGTTGAAACAATAAGCAGAATGGAGTGTGATCAAGAGTGAATGTTCTCCAATATGAGGTGCTAAAGGATTCAAATAAAGGGAGAGTTTTGTAGGCTGAAGAATCCCAATGGAGCTGTCCTGACAGGAGGCTCAGGTTGGACTTCAACAATGGGAAGGCATTGGAGAGGAGAGGACAAACAAGGAGTGCATTTCATGCAGCAGCTATCCTGGAGGCCCAGCGGGAAGACGGTGCCTGCCCGCAGGGGCCAGGGATGGTGAAGTTAGCCTAACTAGGGCAGAAGAGTTCAGCCTCGAGTAGATTGGCAGTGGGGGGCAGAGTAATACTTCCCACTCTGGTTGCCCATCAGAACCCACTGTGTGGCTTTGTGAAACCACAGAAGCTCAGAGATTGTGGTTTCAGTGTCTGGAGTGAGGCCCAGACATTCAGAGAATATAAAAGTTCCAGCAGCAGCAGCAGCAGCAGAGTACAAGGTTACTGTGCTAGAGAAAAACAGGGGAGAATGTCCTGACTTTGAACTTGGAGTTGTCCTTAGTCTTGTCCTAGTGCTTGCCCCTCAATTCACCTCTCAGTGCATAGAGAAGAGGCCAGGAAAGCCTAGAGAGAGAAGCAGCAGGGCCCAGAGGGTCTGGAGTGTTGTTTCAGGATGAAGACTCTAGGCTGGCAAGGGAGGCAGGGTGGGGGCTTGACAAGCTGGAGGTGGGAGAGAGCCCACCAATCTCAGGTTCCTGGGCTCCTCCTGCCTCAGGCTCATGGGCTGGGAGATACAGTCCCCAGCACATCTGGGTGGTTTCACTCCCCCCTCCTCCATGCCCACAGGCCCATCTGGAGCTGTGGATTTTGACGAACCTGTTTGTTCCCCACCCCCACCAGCATCTGTGAGCTATTTCCCTTGTGGAATTTGGAAATGTTTCTCTCCCCTATTTGTAACAATCTGCCACATCACATAAACAATTCCCTGCCAGAGCAGTAGGGAGGGATGGAGGGAAGGAAAGGAGAAAAGTAGTGCATTAAAAAAATTAATTTACCATCTTTAAATGCGGAGTTTGAAGCTGCTGTAATGAGCGAGATCCTTCAAAATGTTCACTCTTTGGCAGTTACTAATGAGGTCATTACGCAGAGAAGCAGAGAGGGGTCTCAGAAAGCTTTTCTCCACTTCCAAGCCCCAGGTGCCTCCTCTTTTCTCCATTCTTGCTCATCAAGATCATGTTGGAAACACACAATATGGCCTTTACTGCCACATAACACCCTTGAAAGGGTGTTTTTTTACATGCTATACCATTCATTCTTTCCTATGTCACGGTATTTACTCAGCACTTGCTATGATCCTGGCACTGTGTGGTGGTTGCAGGGAGGTGACTGTCATGTAAGTTGTGTAGGTTTTATTTTACACGGACACCAAACTATGTGCCCAGAGACACCTTTTCCCAGTTTGCATAAAGGCACTATGTGGTGGAGCAGCTGGGGAGACCAAGGGGACAGAATGGATGAGGGTTTCCCTCCAGAGAGCTGAGGCTGGTGGAGGGTCAGGAGAGAGAGCAGCAGGAGGAAGGAGAGGACACCCCTCCAAGCCCCCATACCATGTCCTCAGCCCTGAGAGCCCCTGGTCCTGCTCACCACCACCATGGGGGAGAGAGAAGGACAGGGATAGGACGGGGGCCCATCTTCAGCCCCCCTCTCGAGCAGTGCCCCGGCCCAGCTCCCCTGCGGCAGCCCACCCTGCCTGTAAGGGTCTCTGCCCCAGGATTTCCCTCGGCCCCCTGGAGGCCCAGAGGCTGTGGTTCTAGTGGACTGTTGCTGAGGTTCAGGAACAACAGCTCAGAAAGGAATTTTGGGAACTCTTGGTCTACAAGGCCCCTAAGGCTGGCACTGCCAGTTAGCTTGGCTGGCCTACGTCACCGGGCAGATAAGCTCAGATGCTTTTCTTGCTTCCTCCCTGTGTTATCCAGTTTGCTCTAAATATACTGTGGCTAGATCTGTGCCCGCTCACCTCCCTGGGCCTCCCAGGTCAGCCCACTCCCACAAGCCATGGTCACTAAAGGCAGTGCCCATCTTGGCCCATGCACCAGGCTTTTGCCTGAGCTTCTGAAGACACAGCAGAAACCAAGACTTCCCCCAATCCAGCTGGCCCCAGTTTCTTGCCGAGGTTTCAGCATGAGGGTCCTCTTTTTGCACCGGGCAGCAGGCATCCAAGAGTCTCAAACTTGGGTCGGAGGAAGACCCTTGGTGTGCTGGTTCTCCAGGGGCTGTGGGCACTCCACCTCTCTTAGCCCATGGGATCTCACCTGTGTGGCCAGTCCTAGGAATGGAAGCCCCTATGCCCTGTGCAAACTCCCTCTGTCTGAGTAGGCATGGGTGGCTCAGGAGGACAGAGTGGCAGTGGGAGGCCTCCTGTGCCCTTTCTCTTACCCAGCTGTGTTCTGCCCCAACTATGCTGGGGATAGTGAGGACCAGACCACCCTCCTGACAGCTTCTGGCCCCCTTGCCCACTTTTCCATAGCACTTCTCTTGGGCTAAGTCCCTCATGTGTCCCCACAAAGCCCCTGCTGGCCAAGCTTCCTCCGGCATCTCCTTCCCAGCTCTTCCCAGCCTTCTGCATGAAGCATCCATATCACCCTACTGCAGCCTGCGTGCCTCAGGCAGGGTGGGCAACCCTCACCCTACTAAGGGCCCTGGCCTGGGGAACGGGGCACTCCAACAGGGTCCAGGCACTCAGGGTTCCTCTCTGATGATCTGCCCCAGGGCAGACACCACCGTGGCTGAGAAGGGCTATAAAGCCACAGTGTTTTCTCCATGTGGGTGGTTGGGGAGGGGCTGGTTTGGGTGGGCATCACTGACATCTGCCCCCTTGGCTCCCCTGCAGCGCAGAGCCCCACCGCCGCGGACCCCCTGCAGCAGGCCTACGCCGGAGTGCAGCAGTATGCAGGTCGTTAGTACCCGCGCGTCCCCGTGGCTCTCCCCCAGCTTTGCCCATCTCCCCACGCCTGCCTGGGCACCAGGGCAACCTCCCCACCCCAGGCTGGGGCCCAGCACTGTGTGTGGGGGGCAGCAGGGGGAAGGGGGTAGTGGGGAGCTTTGCTGAAAGGAGGGAGGGCTCTGCTCCCAGAGACCCCTACTCCAGGTTGCCTTCCCCTCTGCAGGCCCCCTAGCAGTCAGGCAGAATTTCCCATGGGTGCCCTTGCAGTGGTAGGCAGTCAGAACTTCAGGCAAGTTGGTGAGCCAGGCTGAAGCATTGACCTTGCCACACAGTTACTCATCTCTGAGGCTAGATGTCTCTTCCTGTGGGGCTGCCAAGCCTGTTTGTCCAGGAGCACCAAACCACAGAGCAGCACTGGGGGTGGGGCTGGAGCTGGGGTGCCGCCCACCGCAGTCCACAGTCACTGGCCCTGGGAGCTTAGATGCCTGGGTTCAAGGCAAGGAACGACCCTGGAAGGAAAGCAGTTCCAACCTTCCACCTCCCCGCACCCCTTCCCCAGGATACACAGGTAGCAGGAGTTGGCGTGAGCAAGGATGACGGGGAACAAGGGAGGGTAGGCAGCCAGAGGCAGAAAAAAGGAGGGGCGACAAGAGGCAGCCCTAGGTCCAGTAGGTGGCCTTGGGTCACTGAATGGGAAGCCACTGTAGGAAGCCCAAGGCAAGCTGTCAGTCATGCTCCTCTCACTCCTACCCCTGGGCTGGGCAATACACACACACACACACACAGACACACACACACACCCCAAACACACCCATACACACAAACACACACTGATCTTTGCTGTGCCGTTTCACCCTTTCTCCTGAAAGCTGGCTTTACCTTAAGTGGCTGAGCTGAAATGCACTTTTTGGCTGGTCTGCTTTTACTGCTCAACACTGAAATTTCTCTTTCTTCCTGCCTCTCACCCTGTCTTTCTCCGTGTCACTGTCACCGTGTCTTGCTCTCGCCTCTCCTCTTTGGCTCTCCAGCAGCTGCCTACCCTGCTGCCTATGGTCAGATAAGCCAGGCCTTTCCTCAACCACCTCCAATGATCCCCCAGCAACAGAGAGAAGGTGAGTCTGCAAGCGGGCTCCCAGGCCCCTCCCTGCCCCTTTCTCTTCCCAAAGAGGCTCTCTTGGGCCTTTGGCTGGGTGCTCTGTTGGAAAGACAGCCATGTTTGTGTGTCGTGTTGAGTATGAGGGAAGAGGGCAGGGTTATGAGATGTGGCACTCTCCAATCCAAGCTGGGGGGTGCGGGCTTCTGGTGGGCAGCTCTGCAAACCCCGGTGGCGGGAGGGTCCAAGAATCCCCTCTGCCCCAGGGGAAAGAGGGGGTAGTAGTAATGCTCATAGGGAGGCCAGTTCCTCATGGACCAAGGTTGCACCCTCTGGGGGACTGGGAGAGCCAGTCAGAGCTCCCAGGGCAGGTGGGAGTCCGTGGGCAGGGAGGGGATGGGGGTGCTTCAGTGCAGGCCTAGTCTCAGAAGAGACGCTAGAAAGGCAGATCCAGGGGCCCTGGTGTGAACAGGGTGGGCCAGGCAAGGCCACTGGGCCCAGGGAGGCTGGGGCTCATGAAGACCCCCAGTGTCCTCTCATTCCAGAGCTTAGAGACCAATAGAGGCTGGATGAACTGGCCCACTCTTGGGGATTCCATGGGCTTGCGAGAGCTAGTTTGCTGGGCAAGAACACTAGCAAGGTCCTGTCCTCCCCACCCTCATGAAAAGCCACATCTGCCCCAGCAGCCTACATGGCCAGGGTGTTCCACTGGTCTCCAAATGGCTGGCACGGAGCCCTTGCAGCAGACCGTCCCGGGGTTGTGGGCTATAGGTTAGTCCTGGGAAGGACCCTGGGGATCTGCTGGTCCAAAGCCCTTTGGTTGGACGGCCCTGACCAGGCCCCAGAGCCTGAACCACAGAGAGCTTAGTCTTGGAAGCAAACTCATCTGGTCTGACTTCCAGCTCAGCCAGCCTCTCCCCTCTCAGACTTGTTGTCCTCCATAGTGAAGCCGCCGGCCCATGCCTGAATGACACAGGGGCCATCATCGGTGAAGTGGGGGTGGAGGGTCATCCATCAGCCCTGCCTATCCCATGGGGTCCCCTCACTGGGCTGTAGCCCTGAAGTCTACATGCCCCTGCTCTCCTCCCACCACTCCAAGTTAGATCAGAGCTCCAAGGGGTGGGGTCCAGCAGTCTCAGTGCTTCCTGCCCAGACCTAGCAAGGTCCTGTCCTCCCCACCCTCATGAAAAGCCACATCTGCCCCAGCAGCCTACATGGCCAGGGTGTTCCACCGGTCTCCAAATGGCTGGCATGGAGCCCTTGCAGCAGACCGTCCCGGGGTTGTGGGCTATAGGTTACCCAGAACAGAGAACTGTGCCCACAGGCACCACTGCCTTTGTCACTGCACTGCCACCCTGTGGTCAGCACCCTGCATCTCTCTGGTCTGTGGGCTCAGAGGTCTCTAAAGCTCATCCCCCACCAACACACACACAGCTGCAGGTTGGTGTTGTTCTGACCAATGCACAGGGCAGCCCCTGCCACTGACCTAATAAAACTCAGGCCCTCCATCTGTCCCCTGCTCTGCCCTGCCCCCACCCACCTCACACTGTACACCACCTTCCATGTCTAGCTCTGAACTCCTTCTCATACCTTCTCTGTATCTGAGCAGCTTCAGTTCCCCACTGCCATGCCTCGTTCCCTACACCAGACCTCCTGCAGTCATTCACCACTGCAGCCTCCCCTTTGGGGAATGGATATACCACTATAGTCCCAATTCTCCCTGAATGTGGTGCACAGGACAAGCGACCCTGGGGAGCAGGGCAGGCAGAGGGGTAAGACGTAAGCCCACGTACCAACAGAGCCATGCTACATATGAGGGCGAGCTCATGGCGCTGGAGGCAGGGGTGTCAGGGAAGGCTTTAGGGGGCCCTGAAGCATGAGGTCTTCAGCACGCAGAGATGGGGAGACAGGCATTCCAGGCGGGGGAACAGCAGGTGCAAAGCCAAAGGTGTTGCAGAGGATGAGATGAGCCTGGAGATGTGGGGTGGGCGGGCTGAGGGTGGGTTGGGCCAGACCACAATGGTGTCCACAGTGTTGCAGGAGGCATGGCTGAAAATGAAAGCCGTGTCCCTCTAGCCATGGCCCCTTCACATTATGGTCACCACCCCTGTGTAATGCCACTGAAATACCAGGACACACTGTTTGCTGGGGAGGACTTTCCTTCCAGCTTCTTGTCTTTGATCTGAGCCTGAAAACCAGCAGAGGCCTGAGTCCCCAGAGGCTGTCTGCCCAATGGACAGGCCAAGGTTACTCTCAGGGCTGGTCCATTCCTGCCTCTGCCAGGAGCCACTGGGTGGCCAGGGGTAGTCCCTTTCTGTCTCTGGAGCTCCATTTCACCATTTCTCAGAAGGCTGGGCTGCAGAGTGATCTCCAAAGTCCTGCTGGCTGTGGATCTGTGAATAAGGGACTAAAGTGAGGGCCCGGGGGCAGCTGGAGTAAGACAAGGCATAGGCTGCCTGTCGAGGGTAAGGGGCAGGAGACTGGCAGGGCTCAGCTGCACGCGTGCTGATGGAACTCAGTCTACGTGCCTGGCCCTCAAAGGCTCCTTGTCTCTTTAAAGACAGCAGACATAACATCTACATAAGGCAGCTTGCAGAACTTGAACTTGGAGCACGGGCCCCAAGTTCAAAGCAAGTGTCAGCATGGGTGGAGTAGAGAGGGAAACCCTGAAGAATGGGGAAGGGCAGAGAAGAGAAGGCATGTACTGGGGTTGAGGTGGGGGTGGTGGTAGGAGGTCCGTAGGAGGACAGGAGAAGGCAAATGCCCTGTCTCTAGAGAGTGCCCCCTCTGGCTGGAGAGGAAACCTACCGGGCACAAGGGAAAAAGAGCCTCAGACTGAACAGTATGGAGTATGGACTCAGGGAGCACTGAGGGGGAGAGGGTGTGGGGAGTATCTGGGTGGGAATCCTAGAGGAGGTGTGGCTTAGATTGGCCCTTCAAACTGGTTCCTGCCCCCAGGGGACTCTCCACATCTAGCTGGGGACCATCTAGGAACACATGCATAGGGCATGAACTAGTGAACACACATGGGTAGAGGGAACGGGCGAGGAGAGGGTGACCAGGGCTTGGGAGGTCCTGCACCCAGAACTCTGGAAGTGGGTGAGGGAGCACGCTCGCGCCGGTCCTGGTTCTGAACGCGCCGTCAGCTGGCAGTCTGCCTGGGAGCCAGCAGTCTGGGGGTGAGGGTGGGGACAGGGACCGAGGAGGTCCATGGCTCAGAGGGCTGCTTTGGTGGTCAGAGGAGCCTTGGGAGGGAGGAAGGAGAAAGGTGGGAGGAAAGAGGAAGGGAGAGAAGGCAGAGAGACTCCAGAGAAAGCTCTCTGGTCCAGGGCGGGGCTATCTGGCAGCGGGGCCCTTCCCAGAGAACCAGCACGGTTGGTTCCGGCCCTGCAAGCCACATATCAGACCACGTCGGTGCCTTACAGCCTTCACTTTTGAGCTCATGCTTAGTTTCCACCAGCCTCTGATCAGAGAACCTCAGTTCTTACACGAATCTGACAAATGAAGCTATTCCTTTGCACGTCCTTCATGGGTTGGAAACCATTCCAATGACCACACTTTAAAAGGTTAACTCATATGTGGCATACTATGCTTAAGGTGGCAGAAAACATGAAGTATCTTGGAGAGATTTCCATCTCAAAGAGTTAAAATTGAGCATTTGGGTTATTTAAGAAGAAAAATGTAAATCTTTAGCTACTTGGAAATTTCAGGAGCCCAAAGTCCTCAGCTGTGTTCAGAGTTTCCGGGGCACTGAGATTTATGACAGAGAGGGAGAGAGAGAGGAAAGCACAGACGCTAGAGTCAGATGGCCTGGGTCTGTATCCTGGCTCCACCCCCTACTAGCTGTGTGACTTTTGTCAGGTGATTTAACCTCTCTGGGCCTCAGTTTTCTCATCTGTGAAGTGGAGAGGACAAGCTATAGAAGTGGCGGGGCTGTTGTTGCAATGAAGTGGGGAGCCTTTCATTTAACGAAGCTCATGGGCACCCTGGCTAATCGTGGAGCCCTGCTGTGAAGACCCTCCTGCCCACCTAGCCCACTGGAGGAGGCAGGATAAATCTTAATTTCTACCTTCAAGACCAGGGCTGAGTTAGAAGTCTGAGGCAGGGGAAGGTGAGGGCATTGGGAACCAGATGGGAAGGAGTGGCTGTAGGCCAGGGAGAAGGGCAGGCTGAACTGCCACCCGTGGGTGCAGGAGATGAAGTGAAGCTTCTCACCCACCTGAACCAGCATCCCTGGCGTGGCTGCCCCTGGCCCAATCCCTCTTTCCTCTCCTGAGTGGGGGCTGGGCAGGAGGGAGGCTCAGCAGATCCTCTTAGCTCTCCCTGCCACCGCCCCTCCTCAGCAGCTGATTTCCATTGCTGATCAGGCCTATGTTTGCCGCTTTGACTCATCACTTCTGCCCCTGGAGCCCAGAGTTACCGGGCAGGCACTTTGTTAGAGATCCATTTTGCAGAAAAGGCGACTGAGGCACAGAGAGGTTCAGTGACTTGCCCAAGGGCAGAGCAGAGACCAGAGCTCAGACCCTGGGCTCAGCAACCCCCACTCTTCTCGGATCTTGGATGAGACCCCCCTTCCTAACCTCGCCCCCACCCCTCCCTGCTGCCGCTGCCTAACTCGCTCACCTCTCCTCTGTCTCTCTCTTCCCCCACCCTGCCATCCCTCCTCCCCGCCCCACCCCCTCCCCTCACCGCAGGGCCCGAGGGCTGTAACCTGTTCATCTACCATCTGCCCCAGGAGTTTGGGGACGCTGAGCTGATGCAGATGTTCCTCCCTTTCGGTAATGTCATCTCCTCGAAAGTGTTTGTGGATCGGGCGACTAACCAAAGTAAATGCTTTGGTGGGTAAAGATAACAAACCAACTAGCTTCACCTAGGACAGGGCGGTGCTCGCACCAACTTACCGGTGTCCAACTGCTTTTAACCTGCTCCTCCACACAGCTCTCCGCGCCCAGGTGCTCCCTGCGCCCCAGCCCCCAGCCGCCATCTCTCACTTTCTCTTCCACTTCTGGCTTCTTGGCTTTCCCTGCTCACTCCCCGCCCAGCTCCCCGCACCCCATCCCCCACCTCCCAGTCCGAGAGATAGGTTCTGCTCCCTGCTCCAGGTCTTAATTCCCACCCACTGAGGAGGGGGAGGAGCCACCTTGGGCAGCGGTGGGAGGGGGCAGCACGCAGAGTCCACCAGCAGCCCTTCTCCTCCCACTGTCAGAGTGGCCCCTGAGTGAACGCTGGGCGCGATCCATGATCCTTGGGGATGAAGGCTGCCCAGCCGAGGCTGCTACCCTGCCTTCCCCTTGGCTTCCTCCGTCCATCTCCGTGTCCTGCCCCCACCCCCCTTCTCTGTCTACCCTGCTCTTTGCTCCCCTCCTGCCATCCAATGAACTGCCTTTCCCCCACCCACCCCTCTCAGGCCACCAGAGCCACATTGTTGAAGAGTCAGGAAGAGGAATGGTCCCTGCCCTCAGGAAGCCTCAGATCTTAGCTTAGATGGAAATCACACCTACTCAACAGCAGTGAAATCTGCAAGGCACCAAGTAATGGAGTAATGAAAAAGGCAGGTGGCTATCAAGGAAGGAAGGAATGGACAAGGGCATGGGGCTGGGATGAGACAAGTCACGGTCAGCGAGTGGGGAAGCTGGAGGCTTTGGGCAGAAAGGAGGGCTCAGGGGAGACCACCTGCGAGGGAGGGTCTGCACTGGGGAGGGTTTTGACCGTTCAGATGATGATGCTTCATGTGGTGTGGCAGGCAGTGGGAGATGGTGGGAGGTCCTTGAGCTGAGAGGAAGAGAAGGAAACAGCTTCAGGAAATTTTCCTGGTGGCAGGGTATTAGATGGGGCTGGGAAGACTTGGGAGGACTTGGACTATGGTTGTCAGATAAAATGCAGGATGCCCAGTTATACTGGAATTTCAGGTAAACAATGATGCATTTTTAGTATACGTATGTCCCAGGTGTTACAGTCAATATGGCCCAAACATTGTTTGGGATATACTTATGCTAAACAAATATTCACTGTTTATCTAAAATTCCTGTTTAACTGGGCACCCTGTGTTTTGATTTGCTTCAGGCCAGAAGTCCCACCTCAGCCCCACAGCTCCCCCCTCCATTCCTCCTTAGTCCCTCTCTCACCTCCTCTTCCACCCCCATCAGCCCTTCCTTCTGGGGTCCGAGCCACTCACGATTCACCAACGGGTGAGGAGTCCGGTCCCCAGAGAGCCGCCCATGGAGCCCGAGTCTGCCAGGAGCTCAGTACCTCCAGGTTGACCCCTGGAGTCAGGGGCTGTGAGGACAGAACAGGAGCCTGTGCTGGCCAGGGAACCCAGGTCACATGGCGGAGGGAGAAGGTGTGAGGGCATAGGAGCATCAGGGAGAGCATGTTGAGGAAATTCCAATTTGGGGACCAACTTGCCAGAACCACGAAGGGCTTGAGGTCTTAGAGCGTGTCTGACAGAGCAGTCAGGCAGCATCTTTGCTCCGCTGTCCCTTCCCCTGGAAATTTGTGGCACTTCAGTGGCATACAGTTGCCTCAGTAGCTCATTTCTCTTTGAGTATTGGGAAAACAAAGCCAAAGAAAACGACAGGGCTGCCCCCTGCCCCCTGCTTGAGAAGTATTTCTTCTGACGAATCATAATTATGTATGTAAAAACAACAAGCTGGAGATCCTTGCATTTGCTCTTTAAGTAAGCCTGCGATGGTACATGAAATCAAAGGAGACCCCTACGAGCCCACAAAGCACTGGCACCAAGGGCAGAGCAGGCTTGCTCTCTCGCCACACCCTTGGTGCATCTGTGCTGCCCCGGCTGCCCCTGGGTCAGAGCAACCCAGCTTTTCAAAGGCATTTCCTTCGAGCCTCCCCAAACACTACCTGGCCATTAGCCCATTTAAATTGTCCAGGACCAAGGATTTCCCTGCTTTAAAAAAAAAATAATCTTCTGAATACCTCTACTCTGGCTCTCTTCTCTCTTCCTGAACGAGCTTCTGGTGCTATACATCCACCATGCTTGCCCAGCCCAGAGGTTTCTCCTTAAGCCCCTCGGGTTCTGGTTTGCACCTGAGCCTTCGGCAACTCTCCCAGAGGCCTTTTGTGTGAGAACCAACTCCAGCACTCACTCACAGGCAGGTCGTGTCACTCTCTGAGCTGCATTGTCCCCGAGTGTGAGACACAGGGGTCTTAGCCATCTTCCCTGGGGAAAGTTCTGAGTTCTATGAGGTGGTGTGTGTGATGGGCTTGGCCAGAGTGGACCCTCAAGAAGTGCTAGATCTCTCTCTATTCCCCCAAAGATGGGCCGTGTTGTTGTAAATGTGGTCCTATGTTCAAGTGAACCCTTCGAAGTTCCCACTTGCTTTTTATACACATAAATGGAATCTTCCCGAGGCTTTTGTGAGCACATGCGCAGCACAAATTGTTGCTAAGATGAAGAAGGGCTGGGCGCAGACACCAAGAGGAACTCCTACCCATGGTCTGGGAGGCAGGCACTTTCTCAAGGTGGGAGGAATGGGGAAGGGACTCCGGGGAAGGCAGACAGTAACCCTGGGAAAGGGCCCTGCCAGTCATGGGCAAGCTCCCTGCCCAGATGCTGGCCAGTTAACAAAATTAGTTGAGGAAGAAAGGTTCCCTCGAGCCTGGAGTCCTTCCCAATCCCTGGGCCTCTGGAGACTCTAGATTCTTCCACCAAGTCTGGCCTTCCCTCCTCCAGGACCCCTGTGCCCCTTCTTCCCCACTCCGTGGCTGCCCCTCCCTGTACACCACAGCACCTCCAGCCCCCTTTGTCCTTCTCCTGTCTCCACCCCAGCAAAAACAGCCATCGAGTGCGGGTATCAGGTATCAAGGCAGGGTCACAGCTGGTCATGCTGGTGGGCCAGAGGAGGAGGGAGGGGTGTAAACTGCCACCCACAGTTAGGCTATCCTCTCCGCTCAGGGAGAGAGTCTGTAGTTCAACCACCCTCCTTTGTTTGGGAGAGCAGTATAACAGACACGTTTCACACATCTGAAAACTGGTCTGCTCTGCTAAGACTTGACTAGCCATCAGAGGAGATGGGCCAGGAGGGGGTGAGGAGAGAAGGTGGGAGGATTATTCACACTAATCTTCAACTACGGATAATCCTAAATCTCTCCTATCTATGTTGGCATATGGACTCATACAGATGTTGGTTATGTTGCTTTGGGACCAGCTCGGACCAGTTCCATCTGAGCTCACCCGCTCTCAAGTACACTCATATGCATGTGCACACCCCCCCTCCCCCGTCTCTGATGGTGCGGTGCTGCAAGAGCAAATATGAGCAAATGCTGGAAGGAGGCAAAAGGAGGAGAAAAGAAGCCACATGGGGAAGTGTCTGGGGCAAGGTCAACAGGGAGAAGCAGCCACCACAGGGGAAAGTGAGGGAGGTACCAGGGACAATTAACCAAGGAGACAGCTTCTACTTCGGTGGGTTATCCCTTATGTGTCCACTGCTATTCTGGGACAAGCACCCCAAATGAGGCAGGTTTGCAGGATGGCCTGGGAACTTTGCCAAGCTTAGTTTCATATATTTTGCAAGGAGATTTTACAGGAGAAATAAATAAAAGGCAGATTTTACAGGAGAAAAGGCCTCTAAGTCAAATAAATTCCAGGAAATACTAAGTTAAACAAAGAGATAAAGTTTTATTTGTTGGAGAAGTTGGGGTGGGAGGTAGGTGTTTTTATGTGTGCCTTGAACTGTCCCAGAGGGGCCTGGCTATAAGCTTACCTGACCACGGAAGCCCCTTTCTCAAGGAGCAGCTACTAGGGCCATTCTGGGAAATGCTGATGTAACTTGTAGTCTCCGAGGAGACGCATTCAGAGTTTCAGAAAGGTGACTTCTAAATGAACGCTGGGAACCTGTTCCATCTCCATTCAGAAACTTGGTGTTTCAGAAGGTGCCCAGGAGCCACGGATGGCTCTATGTCCCATCCTGGAATGTTGGGAGGAATGAAAGGGTGAAAAAAACTTCTGCAGGTTCTCCACTGATTTTTTACTAATAGTGTTAATTTGTACTATTATTGTTATAATGCTATTATTATAGTTATGGGGGGATTATAGGGGACACATAATTGGCGTATGCTTAGTCCAGGGCAAGAGCACCTGCTCCCTGGGCTTGGAATTGTGCTCAACAAGAGGGAGATGCCGACAGCCCCTGGGTAGGAGGTGGTGGGTTAACTCGAGTCGGTCTGGCTTGAACCCCAGTTGTCCCCCAGGAACCCGACGGGGAACAGCCTCGGCCAGGACCGGGAGCGGGGAGGGGGGCCGCGAGGACTGCCCGCCTCCGCCCTCCCCCGCGCCGGGCGGCACTCGCGAAGGGGGCGGCCCCAAACAGGTCTGTCGGCGGTGCCTCCCTCCCGCCCCCTCGCACGCCTCTCTCTCCCCAGGCCGGCACCCTGTGCCCTCCCGCTGCCAGGCCCCCTCCTGTCAGGGAGGACAGTGTCCAATAAACTCCACCCTCAGGTGTGTCCGCCCTCTCCCACCCCACCGCCGGAGAGGGCTGAGGTGCCGGGGCCGGCCGGGGTGGGGGGCGGGCGCCTGTCCGAGCCCCGCCGCGTCGCGGGCTCCCCGCTCGCGGGAGAGGGCGCCGCCGAAGTCGAGGCGGAGCCGGGAGGCCTGACTCGGGCCCCGCGGGGCGGCGAGGCCCGGAGCCTCGGAAGCTCCCACCCCGGGAGGGGCCGCGCGCACGCAGGCTGGAGGGGGTAGGGGGGAGGTCGGCCGGGGCGGGGCCCTGGGGGCGGAGCTTCGAGCCCCGGCTCTGCCCGCAGGCGGGCGTGGGGGCAGGGAGGGGCCGCCCTCGGCCCGCAGACCTTCTCCCCACCCACCCCTCCCGGCCCCCGCGGCCCAGTGGAAACCCAGGCCCTCGTCCCTCGTGTCTCGCCAGGCTTCGTGAGCTTCGACAACCCGGCCAGCGCGCAGACCGCCATCCAGGCCATGAACGGCTTCCAGATCGGCATGAAGAGGCTCAAGGTGCAGCTGAAGCGGCCCAAAGACGCCAATCGCCCGTACTGAGCGCCGGCGGGAGCGTCCCCCGGGGGAGACTAGGACTCGCACAGGTAACCGGGGGCGGCCGGGGCGCGGGGACGGGGTGGGGGGGGTGAGGGAGGGGACACCGCACGGACCCGCCGCCTCCCTGACCTCCGTGGGCTGGAGCCTCGGGGCTTGTGCCTTGGACCCGCTGCGCGCGTCTCCACCCACTCATCTCCCAGTGCCTAGGAACAGGTGCAGAGCTGTGGTCATCCCGGAGACATGGGCATGGCTATCCCCTGGCTGCAGAGCCAAAAGGAGCTGGAGGGAAGCGTTCTAAGAAAGTGGGGCTAGGCATGGGCCTGCGTCTCCGAGGTCCACATTGGCAATCCTCTTTGCCAGGTGGCAAGCTCAGGGCTGGGAGAGTTGGGGAGCAGCAGAATAGACCCTGCAGAAAGCTGTAGCCCTCTGCTGGGGCCTTCTCCCAGAATCCCTCTCTCCCTTCCCCAGCTCTCCTGCTGGGAGGGCTGGTGGTCTTCAGACACTTGATTCCCTCACCTCTCCAGTTCCTCATAGCTCAGTTTGGAGAGGAAGGACAGGACTTTTCAAAGGGAAACTTACCAAAGAACAAAACTGGCTAGGATAGAAGCAGAGCATGGTGAAGGTGTAGCACCGGGGCCACTCACCCTGCCTGCTCTACAGAGGCCATGATGAGTGGGCAGTCATCACCCCTTGTGCTCAGTCTGGGTCCTGCCTGGCAGCCGGATTTCCAGGCCACCTGTTCCCCTGGGGGAAGTGGCTCCCTGAAGAAGCGGGGAGGGGGGAGCTGTGCCAGGATATCAGAAGTCCACTTCCAGCCTACTGTGAGCTCCTGCAAGGTTAGCTCATTCTCAGGCCAGAGACAGGCTGCCCAGCCCTCTGTCCCTCCATTCCTTCAGTGTGCTGTGCACCAGGTACAGGCAGGTACTCGGGACTCAGCCTGGAGTCAGACCAGTAAGAATCCTTGTCCTAAGCAGGGGAGAGAGAGAATAAACAATGACATATGATCAAAGAGTAAATTGTGCAAGGTGTTGCTGGCTACAGTTAAAATCAGGGAGTTAGGGTAGGCCTTGTTGAGAAAGAGACATTCAAGCAAAGACTTCAAGACGTGAAGCGTGGAGCCCTGTCAGTGTCTGCAGGAGTGCATCCTCCCTTTGAGGGCCCAGCCTGGTGAGGGCAGGGCAGTGGGTTCAAGGAGCAGCAGCAGGCGGGAGGGGAGTAATTACAGGGGCACAGTGAGAGAGTAGGCCCCAGAGGTCAGGAGGGCCACCTCATGGAGATTCCACAGGCCACTGTATGGATTTAGTCCTGTCCTCGGAAATGGGGGGCTGGGGGGAGGGGGGCCACTGGAGAGCTCTGAGTGGAGAGTGATGTGATTAACCTGCATTTCAGCAGGACTGCTCACTGCTGCATTAATAGATTGCAGGGCCCAAAGCAGAGGTCTAGTGCCTGGACCGCTCAGCCCAGCAGGCAGCAGTTGATGTGGTACAGGGAGCCGAGTTGTAGACATGCTTGGAAAGCAGAGCCGAGGATGCTGTTTGTAATGAATGAAGGGTGGGTGTGAGAGAAAGAGGAGTCAAGGATGACACCTGGCTTTAGGCCCAAGTGACTGAAAGAGCAGGTTGTCGTGCCTGGAAATGAAGAGGGGTTGGGAGACAAATCAGGTGTGTGAGGGTTAAACATTTCAGGGGAGGTTCTGAGTCTGGAGCTAGAGGCCTGCAGTTTCCCATTCTCCCCTCAGATCCCACCACTGACAGCAGCACACTCTTCATCCAGCCAGGAGCAGCCACCAGTACTCAGCTTCTACTGCAGGGGGTGGCTGGGCCTCTACCCTCTGCAGGCTGGAAAACCAAACCCGCCTCTTGCCTCTTGAGTTCCCACTCCCTGCCCATCTCTGGCTTGTGTGAAGACACAGATACTCATGTTCACTCAGAGTGGGGGCCTCTCCCTGTGCCAGGCACTGGGCACCATGCTGGGTCACCATCCTGCCCACAAGGAGCCTCTGGCTCTGTGCACATGCAGACTTCAGGACACAGCCAGCAGATGGGTGCATTTCCATAGGAGAGGAGGGGCGGTGCGGCTCAGAGAAAGCAGCCCTTTCTAAGTCTAAGGCATGACTTGGGTCAGGGCGCTTCCCCTCTTGGAATGAAAGCAAGGATTTGGAATCATCAGAGAGTTTTAAAGAGGGGGTGTGCTTTAGGGTAGTGCCCCAAGGTTGTGACGGGCCTCTGGGCTCTCCAAAAGCAGCCTGTTTTAGCCTCCTAGACCTCCATTTAACAAAAACCCAAACAAGAGTAGAGCTTTGCCCTGGCTGGCGTAGCTCAGTGGATTGAGCGCGGGCTGGGAACCAAAGTGTCGCAGGTTCAATTCCCAGTCAGGGTACATGCCTGGGTTGCAGGCCATGACCCCCAGCAACCACACATTGATGTTTCTCTCTCTCTCTTTCTCCCTCCCTTCCCTCTCTAAAAATAAATAAATAAAATCTTAAAAAAAAAAAAGAGTAGAGCCTTTAGGTGGGAGAAATTCCCAGAGGAAGGGATGAGGAAAGCAGATTTGTTATTTGGGACATGAGGTCGGAAGTGGCCTTCAAGGTAGAGCCAGCTGACAGTCATACTTGGGATAGAGTAGCTTAAAACAGCAAAGTGGGTTCTTTCACCAGAGAATAGAAAAGTGAGAACCACAGACTTTCCCATGGTTCTTATCACACATGAGGCTCCATTCCTATAGGGAATAACTGTAAGATACAAGATTATAGCTGCAACCATCTAGAAGGTACATAGTGTTATTAGTCCCACTTTACAGAGAGATCACTGGAAGTCACCTTCCCATCAGCTACTGAGCGGTAGCACCGTGATTTGAAGCTGGGGGGCCTCGTTCCAGAGGCTGTGCTCTTAGTCCCTTCAAGGAAAGAATGGTAACCCCCACTGCTGTCGTCACCCCAGCCTCCCACCACAGAGTGTCCTGAATGTCAGAGGGACGTGTTGAGACATCCCACTTCTCAGGGGTCAGCCACCTGACTACCTCCTCCCTACTAACTCTATAATAAAGTGGGCCTTTAATTTCCATGTAGATGGCATTTAACATGGTGCTTTTGGGCTTCCCACCCCAAGGCAGTCAGAGGCTGGCACAGAAGGAGGGGGCTAAGATAGGGGGCAGGCTTAGGGATTCCAGCGGGAAGTGACTGCTGTCCAGTTGCCAGTGAGGGAGGGAACAGCTGCAAAGGCAGCTAAAAACTGCACAATTTTACAGGTTAATGAAAGGGGTATTTACAAATGATAAATCCTAGGTGCTCAGAAGGGCAGGGCTGGCCTGAGTGGGGACCAAGGGGTGCGCTCTCACTAAGAGTGAAGAGGAGACAGGGTCAAGATTTCCGGGCCAGGGTCGGCCGCCGCAGTGGGGAAGGCAGAAGGTGCAGCAGGCCTGGTCCCCGGGGCCAAGTCAGAGTGAGAATGGGGCGGTTCTGGGGAAGGAGGGGAGCCCCAGCTGGGTAGCTGTGGGGGGGTGTGGTCCGGCTGTGGTTCCCTGAAGTGAGGCTCTGGTGGGTGGAATGGGGTTGGGTCTCCGGGGAGTGTAGATCTCCTTCCCCTTTGGGTTCCTGGCCTTCCTGCTGCCCCTGGCCCTCAGGTTGCTGGAGCTCATTATTTTGTGCTAAGTGGGAGTTTCTCCAAAAAATCTTTACCAGAAATCCAAGAGGAAGGAAACAGAGACAGGAGAAATGGCCAAATGGTGGACACGGCCAGGGCTACACAGCCATCAGCCAGAACACCCAAGTCCCTTGTCCCGACCTGGGATCTGAATTGGGTCAGCCTGGCCAGCATGTCCTCACCCAGGCCATGAGCTGGAGCGTCCCAGGCCTGATTCAGGCTCCCCCATGCCGGTCAGTGACCCACCGCAGGGCTGTGCTCTGTGAGGCTCTTCAGGAGGGTAGCCAGGAAGGGGTCCCCCAGCAGGAAGAGGCACATCTGTTCCCCAGTGAAGAGAGTAGTCAGCTGTTTACATAAGGAACTCCGGGGAGGCTCCCTAGGGGTGAGTTGAATGAGTGTGAGAGTGTGTTTGTGTGTTGGGACCAAGTGAGTGTGAGAGATGAGTGTATGAGAAAGTTTCCTGGGTTGAACGTTAAGGAAGGGCTGTGTGGAAGGCAGGCTAGACTCCCCAGCACCCACAGTGCCAGGCACTGAAGGGCAGGTGGGGGACAGCTGGGGGCAGGCAGAGGAGCACAGCAGAGTGGGGAGGAGTGGGTGCCTGTGAGGTGCTCGGGACTGGGAGGAGGGTGAAGGATGGGTCCCCAGCAGTCCCTTAGTTGTACTTGCCATAGCCGACACCTGATGGCACTGCCCTCCTCCATTCTGAGGCCTCTTCTCCCACCCAAAGGGCCCTGCCAATTGGATATCCTGGGTGGGTCTAAGGGCTGTGTTCCGGGGGGTTGGTAAAGCAGGGGAGGGAGGCATGTCAGGACTCGGTGGGCATGCAGTGGGCCCTGGTCTGCATGAGGCAGGGGCTGCTGCTGGAAGAGTGAGGGCCCGGCTTGGCCAGGCAGGTCAGGCAGGGGTGTGGGGAGGAAGAGGGGCTGGGAGCTCTTCTGTGAAGGCAGAGCTGGAGGCCGGGTTTGGGCTTAAAATAGTCACCTCTCAGCTACTTTGCAGCTTATCCACACTGACACTTCAGCATCCTGGGCTTCCCTGCCACCTTCCCTTGAAGGAAAACAAAGCTGAGAGTGGAAGTTGGCTGCAGCTGCATGTGGAAGCCTGGAGGCCAGGAAGCCCTGCAGATAAACCTGGTGCCTGAAGGCTGCAGTGGAAGGGGAGGGGAGCAAGGTCAAGGGCAACCTTGACAAGGGGATAGGCCTGGGGGCCTGCCTCCACCCAGATCCCTGGCTGGGGGCTAAGGACTGTAAAGTTGTGAGGAGTGCAGAAGACCACTCAAAGTGGGATTATTTGATGATGCTTGATAGAGAAGGGAATCTAGCCTCGGCCACCTAGCGCTGCACCATTAAAGAAGGCAGCCAGGGCCTGTGAGATGGGTCAGCCTAGAAAGCTGTACGTGGAGGGCTGTGGGGAATGGAGAGGGAGAAGGTGGAATAGGGGAGGTCAGCAGAGCAAAGGTGGCAGCAGCAGAGACTGGAGACCCAGGGCCATAGCACTCCCCTCTGGGGGGCTGTCCTGGTTTGTCTTGCCTACCCTGCAGGGTGCCCGCAGTCTTCCGTATGACCTAACCGTGGGTCACCGCTGCAGAGCCCTCTATGGGCCCCATGTGCCCAGAAGCAGCCTCACTTGGTCTACACGGGCCACCTTGGGAGCAAAGCAGAGGGTATGAGGTGACCGTGAATTGAAATCTATAGTACCAGAGCATGTTTGTAGATTTCTAGGAACATTGATGTGATTTCCTCGAAATCTGAAAGCCAAATATGTTCATTTGCTGAAGGTTCTGAGGAAAGAGGGTTGAGGCAGAGCGAAAGGGCAGACAATCATAACATCGTGCAGTGGGTTCTCTTGGAGTGGAGACACCCTTCTCTGGGGACAGTGGCTAAGAGGGACCCGAAGGGTGGGAGGGCTGTGTTGCTGCCAGTGAGGACTGTACTGTGACAGCAAAGTGCCTCATGGATGGACCTCATGGATCCAGCAGTCACCTTAGCCAGCCTCTGACCTACCTGGCAAATCAGGGTCACCCTGACAGCCCCCACCTGCTGGTCCACAGGCTGAAGCCACAGGAGGCTGGGGAGGTGAGGAGAGCTCGGCGCCCAGGGGAGAGAGAAAGAATCAAGGGTGACAAAAAGCAGAGATGTGCTCCCTGATCTGCTTGCTGGCCAAGGTGGTTCGAGGGGCTGTTCCATTTTTTTCTGGCCCCCTCGCCAAACCGCCCACGCCCCCCCCTCCCCAACGCATGATGGATGCCCTTAGTGGCCCTGTGTGAGGTTCTGCTACTGTTCACAGTGTACCACGTGTCTGCATAAACAGCTGTGCGTGTACGTGTGTGTGTGTTGATGTGCCCATGTCGTTTGTCTGCCGGCTTCCTCCATCCTTTGAGTTCTTTTCAGTTCTCTTATGATTTGACTGCTGTTCTCTCATCAGAGCTTTTAGATTGATGCTGTGGTCTGGTGCTGTATAAGTATTTTTCCTTTTAATTTTGTTTTAACTTCTTCCTTGCCCTTCTTTACCCTCTACCCAACTCCCCCTGCCCTCCCACACTCCCCTCTCCCCTCCGCCCTGCCCTGCCTCGCCTCTTCCTCCCCCCTTGCCCACACTCTTGTCCTCTCTCTCTCTTTCTCTCTCTCTACATATATAAATATATATATAAATCTTTTCTTCTTTTGTCATTCAATCAAATTCCAACAACCCAACCAGGGCCAGTCAAATCCACCACAGTCTCGCGCTGAGCTAGGAATAAAGTTCACGTAATCACATGAGAGTGGAGAAAACAGTCCCCCATCCGTAAGTTCAAATCAACTCAAAGTTCACAGTGTGACATGATGGCGTCATGTAACAAGGCTAAGAATCGGTTGCATGACAATTGCCGTCAAGTTTCGTGGAGGTGCTGTGATTGGAGCGTTTTTCTTGGATGTTGTATCAGTCGATGATTGGCCAGTCATGATCACACGTGCATTCTCTTGACCTTTGTGCTGCCACGACCTTTTTTGCTGTGCTCATTTTTGTTTCGTTCTTGGTGCTTGCAGTGGTTTTACTTTCTGTTGTTTGGTTTTTCTTGTTCAGCGTTTTTTATGCTTCTCTAGATGTCACATAGAGAAAAAAAAAACAAAACGAAAGCACAAAAAAAACAGTAAAAATAAAGATGAATTCCTAAATTATCGAACATGGGATCATTTAACTGTGCAAACCATTATTTTTTTTTCTTAAAAGTAACGAAAACATCTTAAAAAATGCGTGGTTGATTTACTTGCACTTGAAAATATTGTGATTTTATTTTTTTCTAGAAATTTGGGGGCCTTTTTCAATTGACACTTTCCTGGGTCTGGTCTTTTTCCAGTTAGGCCATTTTCAATCTCACTTCAAAAGGAAAAACAAAAACAAAAAACAAAAACAAAATCTGTACAGTAACAGAATGATAAAAAAAATTCTAAATCAAAAAAGTAGAGTACAAAGCCAGAGGCCTCTGAGAGAGAGCCTGGTATCAATTGTGAGGTTTGTATTGTAGCCACTTCTGCTAAATTCAACATGGGGTGGGGAGGCCGGGGCCGGGGTTTTGGGAGGGTTTTTTGGTTGGTTTGGAAAAAACAGTCCTGACAAAAGCAAAATGCACTTTTTTGTTTACAACTGAAAAAGGGTCCTTGACAAGTGTTTTTTGATTTTATTATTATTTTCTTTGGTGTTGTAATTGTTTAGACTGCTGTGTACGGTTTGCTGTTTGTTGAATCAACAGTGTGAAAAACCTGCCAGCATGGATTGATATACGCATGACGTTGTCCCCTCGACTGGGGGCTTGGCAGTTCTAACTCTCTTGGTGTAACCAGTCACCCCCATGTATAAGTGGAAGCTGCTTGCTAGAATGGAGATGAGTCTCATTTGTTAATTCACAATGATTAAGCATTCTCCTTCTGATTCTAGTCAGATCATGATTTTTTTTCCTTAAAAGCAAAATGAAACACCAAAAAGACACCATTCAAAAGAAAATCGAGAACTAAGTCTGATGATTAAATCCGTTCTAACTTCTGTTAGGATCTCCCGTCCTCCCCCTTGAAGTTCTGAATTTCCTCTAAATTCCCTGGCATGTATGAGAAAAATATTGTGTGTGTGTGTGTGTATGTGTGTATCTATGCATATACATACACACATATCCATGTGTGTTCACATATGTGCAGGTGAATATATTCTACACATATATCCAGATATACATATATATACATAGCCTCGCAAATAGTTACTGACTTTGGGAAAGAAGTGGTTGGCTGGAAACCGGGCAAGGATTCAGCAAAATTCACGTCAGGGATCTTTCTTCTTTTTGCTCAGTGGGGGAGGGGTGGGCCAGGTTGCTAGATATTTGCTGTCTCGTTTGCTAGGCTTCTGTATACATATTGTATCTGGGCTAGTCCCTCAGAGATCAGTTTAATTATGAATTCATATGCCACAGTCCCAAATTCTCCCCCTAGACCGAGCCATCCCCCAATTCAGAACTCTAAAGGAACCCAAATCGAGACCCCTCTCCCAAGCGCTAAGCCTCAGCCAACAACCACCGCCACTAGACCTCCCAGAGGTTTCTCACTCTGAACAGAAGAGTCGATTTCTTCTTTATGTATCATGATCATGACTAATTCTCATACTGGTCTCTCCCCTCCCTCCCACCATCCCCCAGAGCTCCCCACCCCCGACCCCCAGGCAGGTTCCTTTTGGTGTTTGGATGCATTTTGTGTTTCCTCTCTTGGCTTAATCAGCCCTGATTTTCTTCATTTTAGGGCAGGATGCTGAACGGGCTACATTAAAAAACAAACCTCTCTCTCTCTCTATTTATAAATGAGAACTGTTGGATGACACCTTTGACATATCAGCCAATATCAATCAAGCTGAGGACTCCAGACACTCGGTGACTGTAACATTTCTTCAAGGAAAGTATAGCGTCTGTGGAGTTCAGAGGGCACGTGTTTGGGGGAAAACACATATGACTTAAAGAAGAAGATGAAGAAAAATGAGAAAAAAACACACAAAAAAGGCAACTTTTAAAACAAAATAACTTGAGACCAGATGGGGAGGCTGAAGGGCTGGGAACTGGAAGAGACGCTGCTTACTGATCCGATCCCGGGGCTTTTCCAGCCCGTGGGCGCCTGAGGCAGGCTGGGGCCAGCGGTGTGGCGGGACCTGGTCCCCAGGTTGCGGCTGGGAGCCGCCGCTGAGCATCTCTATCTGTCATTCCTTTAGCTATTTAGGGACCAAAGGACCAAACTTTTTATTGCAGATGTGTAGCTCTACGTCACATAGAGGGGGATGGAGGGGAACCTCCTTCCTGCCTCCTGGCTGTTCTTGAAACAGCTTAGAGCGATTCTATGAAAAATGTAATAAAAAATTACTACAAAAACACAGAAAAAAAGAAAAATGCTTAAATGCTTTTAAAACAGCAAGATAATAGTTCTTTGATACTTCGAGAGGCGCTTTGATTACCCTCATTCAAGTCTAAGACACTTTCCTACGGTTTTCTGTATTGTATGTCTGGAGGGAGCTGTTAAGACGAACAAATTGGTGGATATTGGGGGAAAGCAACAAAAATATTAAAACTCACTAACCTTGAAGTGTGAGAAAACAGAGGGGAAAAAAGGACTCACGAGGCAAGAGAATTGTTGTGAAAAGTCTGTAAATGCTTCTAACTCTTCCCCCCCTCTTAAAAACATAATAGTTGTACAGAATTTTAAAAAGGAGAAGTTTAAAATACCTATATCATAGAAGAAAAATTAGAGGAAAGCAAAAAATAAAAAAATAAAAAAGGAAAAAAAAACTTATAGAAGTTAGCGTTACTGCTAAAATCCCAGATGTTGTAGGACTGTACTTTCGTAGAGTTTAGACTGAGCATCGATCCCTTCTCCCCGCGAGTGCTGTGGGATGGCGACACCGTTGACCCTGAGGGCCAGGCTGACCGGCCAGACCGGCGGGCTCCTGGCTGCCCCCGCCTCTGGAGGCCCCGCCCCGGGCAGGAAGGCCCGCCAGCCGCAGCCGCAGCCGCAGCAGCAGCTGCCCTCGCCTCGCTTCGCTCCGGAGCCGCGTGCTCGCCGCTCTCCGCAAGCCCTGGACACCTCCTGCTTCACTCGCCTTCCATGCTTGCTCCAGAGACTTTCCGGGCAAGGGAGACCTGGGAACTTTCATCTTAAAACAACGAAACAACACACACACACAAAAACCTTAAACAAGAGAGAGAAAAATAAACAATCTTTGAAGAATTTCTGAAACTGTTTACAAGGAATTTTGAAAAACAGGGATGTTTAAATGATGCCGGCTCTGTTTTTCTGTAAATAAATTTGCATATTTTGTAGGACTTTTAATTGTAATGATAGAGAAAAAAACAAGGAAAACTATTTAATGAAAGCACGATATTTATCTTTGGTAAATGACTTTAGAGCAGTTAAAAAAGACATTGCTTAAAAAAACTCAGAATCAGAAAAAAACACTGATTTATTTAAGAACACATATATTTTAAAGTATAACATATTTATTATAATTTATTTGCACCGTTGGGAAGACTTGCTTTGGCGTTCTGCCTCGGTACCCTCCTCTCGCTGAGGTCCGGTTCGTCTGGAGGCCAGAGGGCTCGCGGACCTGCCATTTTTTCCCTTTTTTGTTTTAGAAAAACAATGACCTGGTTCCTCTCAGGCCTCCTGACTTTCCTTTCTTTCTGGTTTGTTGGTTCATTATTTAAAAATTTTTCTTTTTCTTTCTCTTGGCTCCTTTTAGGATGTCCAGATGTTGTAAAAAAAAAACAAAAAACAACAGCTGCAGTTCAGTACAACTGCTCTTTTCACACTCGACTCCCTAAAACTCCTTGTAACCTTCTGTAACTATTGGATGACGCTTTCTCCAGCTTAGCCCTAAATAAAGCACAGTTTAAAAAAAAAAAAGAAGACGACTCCTTTTCAGTGGTCTGTGCTTCTGGGAATCTCGCCGGCTGTGCCTCGCCACGGCGGGCCGAGGAAGTAGCTTTGGCCCCACTCTTCGTGGAATCTGTCTGTCACCCACGGTTCCAGCCCAGGCGATGTGGAGGGCTTCCCCGGGGGGTGATGGGGGCCATCCGAGGAGGTCCTGTCCCACACTCCAGAAACATTTCTCTCCACTGACGTGCCTTTGAAAGTCTTCACAGCAAACCCATGTGTTTGGCTCCCTGGCAGGGATGGCCAAAAGGCCCAGACACAACAGAGGGTCCACCTTTCCTCACTCACAGGAGGAAACCGAGGCCACCTGACCTGAAGGCAGGTGGAGGCAAAGCACTGGGAGGCATTGGGAAGGGAGGCAGTGGAGGCAGGGACCACAGTTAAGGAAGAAGGATGAGGACACGACCCAAAACTTGCCACCAAGCACTTTGCTTTTGGTCCTCACCTCCCACTGGGTTGCCAGTTTGTGTGGCTAGAGGAAACCCAGGATTCCGGATGGTACCCACAGGGTTGGGGCTCTGATGGGAGGGAGTGCAGAGGAGGTAGGTTTCTGGGGTGCTGCCCACCTCTCTATCAGGACAGAATGTCCAAACCCTGACGCCAGAGGAGGTTTGAGAAGGAAGGTAATGCAGCATGAGGGGCTCTAGATGAGGAAGGTCATGAACTTGGACTGGGGGAGGGGAGGTGGAGGAGAAGGAATGGCGTCTTTGGAGGTGATGCACAGAAGCCACAAGCCGGCTTCAGGCCCCATCCTGGCCCATCTCACCCCCTCCCCACCCCCAGCCTGCAGCCCTGCAGCCTGGTCTAGGCATGGGCAGACTCCCACCCAGGGTCTCCATCTCCCTCTGTGTAGGGGGCAGGGAAGCCCTGTGGTTTCAGACGCCTGGTTGGGGAGACAAAGGTCTTTGTCTGCCTGTCTGTCTGTGCCCCCTTCCGAGGGAGAGTGGGGACTGGCTTCTGCCCTCACCTGTCTTCTCTGAGGGAGAGTGATAGAGAGCTGAGCTCAGAGCCCCAGCTACAGAGCAACACCTGGAGCCCTGTGTCCCGTCTTTCCTCTCTTCCCAGGGCCGGGCCCAAGTCCGTGTTTCTCACACTAGCCTGTGAAATGTTAGCCTGGGCAGAGAAGGCCTTCACAGGGAATGGGGCCGGCCTTCAAGCCAGGACTTGAATGTGGAGGTGGTTTGCGTGTGAGAGTCTCCCTGTCCCCTAAACTAGCCCACACTCCTCCCGGCCCCGGCAGCAAGCCGAGGTGACAGCCTGCTCCGCCGTCCTGGGAGCCTGTGCGGCTCTGGACTTTTTGGAGGATTTCACTGCAAAGGGCTGGAGGTCAGACTGGGGGTCATGCTACCATGTGAGGAATGGAAAGGTGTTTTTTAAGGAATCTTTTGAGTTTTAAGCCTCCTACTATTCAAAACTGAGGTTCCTATTGGACATTTGCGTCCAAAAGGCAATGAGTCTGCCAAAGGATAACAACCTCAACAGCTCCTCCTCCTGTCACTGTCCCAGACCCTAGGGAGCCTCGGTGGCCTCCCCAGACAGCCCCAGGTTTTTGGTTTTCGCCTCCCCATGGTGGACCGTTCCCTCTGGCACAGGGACAACACCAGTGTCCCTGGAGCTGCCCCCAGGGGCCCGGGCTGCAAAGCAGGTCAACCAAATTCTGCTTTGATCCAGGCATGGCTGACTGAGAGAAGGGATGAAAACACAGGGCCCAGACAGGACTAAGTCAGTTCTAGAAAATAGATGCTCTATTTAAAAACCACATTCAAAATAACAAATGGAGGCATGGCACAATTAAGAGAGAAGACAACTTATAACCTCTGGAGGGAAGCCACAGATTCCTCAAAAACTTGTTGGAAAACATCAGGTTAGTCTGCACACTGTCGCAGGGCGAGAGGGGACCCCACGGCTCATCCATCATCCCTGGGTTAAGAATCCCTGGTTTGTAGTGTTAAGAAAACCCAAGACACAATTCTCATTAACTTCTGCTTATATTCTATGGCTTAGATCCCTCTGCTGTGACTCTACCTGCAGTCTGTAATTTCTTTATAGCTCCCCTATTTTCAAAAGACTTTTTATCATAAACCTTTTATCTCAAACTTAATGAAAAGTAGAGATACTTGCATACAGAACTTGTGTACTCACCGCCTACTGTCAACACACATCATCAGCTCATGAGCACCTCCCAAGCACATCCCAGGCATGAAGGCATTCCGTGGGCAGATACCTCGGTCTCCCTCCAAGGCCTCGTTGCCGCACGGATGTCCGCAGGCTGGCTCTGGCCTTGGGGCGGCTGCCCCCTCACTGTGGCAGTGTCGGGAGAGCTGCAGCCTCTCCCAGCCTTACCCGAGGGTGGGCCCTGGCCCCGGTTCCCTCCAGCCTGGCGTAGGGTGGCACTTTGAAAGGCCTTTCTGCTTTTCGACTGCCCCCTTTGCACGCTCATCTTCTCTCATGTTCTTCTCCTCTCCCTTCTCCCCTGCTTCCTCTGTGACGCTCACCTGAAAAGAAACTGTTTACGGAGACCTTTCAGTTAATAGCTCCCATCTCCTCGGTTTCTCTGAAGGTCTGGCTTTTCCCCTATCCTGAGCTGGATGTCACTCCCACACCCAGAGCAGCAGTGGAGCAAGACAGTTGTCCCAGGGCTTCGCCACACACAGGAGTGGCCCCAAGTCCTTGCAGGCAGTTCCGCACTCCTCCTGACGTGGGGTCTGCAGGGCCATCGTGGGAATTACGCCTGGATCGAGCCTCAATGAGCATTCTCCCTGGGGTAAGGATGAGTGATGTCTGGGCAGTGAGCTCAGGGGCCCCGCCCTGCCCAAGGTGACAGCATCAGACTTGCTTGTGAACACCATTTGTCTGTCTCCCTAAATGGAATCCACCCCAAATAAACATTTGTCACCACTGATGTCCCACCTCTGACAGACTGTTCACCCCTGACAGTCAGATCCTCGGTCAGGGCTGGTTCACTGCCTGCCTGAACGGGTTAAGGCAGGAAGGACAGAACAAATTACAGACAACTGAAGGCACGTTCCAAAGAGGTAGGTCTTCTGAAAATGCTTTTGAAGTAATAATAGCACATTCGGAACAGGTGCACACCTTCCTGTCTCTACTGCCCGTCACTCTATTTCTCTAAGCCGTCCTCCCTCTTGTTACCTGCCCTTCTCCCCCACCGCAGTCCCTGCTCTTCACCACCACCACATGCCCCCAGGCCTGGCTAGTAAGGGGGTGGAAGGCTGGAGAGCCAGCACAGGAACCCCAGGGCCCTCCCTCCTTGTCACCGCAATTCCCCTTTCCTTAGGCTAGCCTAACTCCTCATCTCTGCAGGGAACCTTGACCCTCTCACTCCCTCTGTGAAGCTCTAACCAGGATTTGCCCAGACCAGGAGGAGGCTGGAGATGAGTGCATCAGAGAGAAAAAGGCATGGGCTTTGATGGCA